CCACCTCCAACCCTTTTTCCTCCTCCTTCACCCACACCCGTCCACCATAGCCAACCACCTCCAACCCTTCTTCCTCCTCCTTCATTCACGCCCGTCCACCATAGCCGACCACCACCAACCCTTCTTCTTCCTCCATCACCCACACCCCTCCACCATAGTCGGTCACCATCAACCCTCCTTCCTCCTCCTTCACCCACGCCCGTCCTCCGGAAGTCTTAGGGGGCCGCAAGGGGGATGCACGGGACCTCGGATAGGATCGGTTAGGGTAAGTCAATTAGCAAGGTCGATTAGGAGGGGAAGCTTCATCTCTCTCTCTCTCTCTCTCTCTCCCCATTTTTTTCTCTCTCTCCTCCTCTCCCTCTCCCTCCGTCTTCCTCCATTCCTCCAAACCCCTAACTCTCCCGTCACCCCTTCCCCCTCGATGGCATGTGACTAACCTCTACCCTCACCTGTTACATTGCCAGGGAACGAACGGAAAGGAACTTAGTCCTCACTTGGTGGAAAGCGAGGGCAAGGGAAGGGTTGCCGGTCCCTTGTGCCACCAAGAAGGAAAGGATACGGGACTATCGAGAGCATTTGCGAAAGCAAAAAGGAGTGCTGATTTTGGACAAGGTCAGTTTGACTCAACCATCCTCCCGGAATGCATGACTGAGGCGATCGCATGGTTTGCTTGTGGGAAAGGGAAGGGAACCCATAAGGGGAATTGGAAGGCAAAGGCAACTTAGGATTGCGGGAAGGGGGCGATGTGTTGACCCCAATGGAGACTGTGCTTGGTCATTTGTCTCGTGTGGTCTTGCGCAGGTGAGTGGCTAGGGACGATTTGGACGAGGTTGGACCCGCGGAAGAGGACTAGGGTGGGAGATTGGCTAAGGAAAGGACTTGGATCCGGCTCAAGCCATGAATGCGGGATGTGTTGAGGTCGGGCGCCAGGGTGGATGGTTGATGCATGGACTTGGTTTGTGTGGAGGTTGCATGGAATGTCTCTCTCATGTGCGATGCGACCCCTGAAAAGACTAAGTGCGGTCTTGGATAGGTGATGCGATGCTAGTGGCTCTCGCAAAAAAATATAGCGGTTAGGGGTCCGGGCGACGCCACCCTACCCCAAGGATGCTGCCGGGGCTGCCTAGAGCCGCTAGGCTTAGTGAAAAGGTGTGTGGCCCAATGGATGATGCTTGGCCTGCGCACGATAAGAAGACGAACTCTCAATGAACTCCCTGGACTGCTTGTGTATTGGAAGGAGCAATTGCCTGGTCAGACTTAGCCGAACCGAGAAAACGCCACGAGTGCCCAAAGAGCTACCATCTTGACGCGAGAGCGGAGCTACATCCCCCAATGTAAAGCCCTCTCATAAAAAGGCCCATCCCCATCCATCTCAAAGCACTAGGTGGGGGTGCCCCTGAGAAATGACCCGCGCCCTGAGCATGAGCGTGGGCGGGTCGAGCCAACTAGGGCCCGCAGCGGGGTCGACTTAGGCTCGAAAGCCCTTCAAGGTATGACCCCTACAAAAATGATGGAGGTGCCGGGTATTGGGTTAAAGTGACCCATACGGTCTCGAGGGGGGCGCCCGATGCATGACCATGAACATAAACATGAAGATAAGGAATATGGATTTGTGTATGCTCTATTCCTTTGAGTGAATCAGATTTGAGGGTGGCTGGGCGCATGGCAAGGCCAGGCCTGGAGGAAGAACATGCATGCTTGCACTTTTGATCAGCCATCTCCTTTGGAGATGACTCTAGTCCTCCTTCCCTGGGACTGATGTTCGTCAGGCAGGGGAAGCCTTGGGCAAACTGCGGGTCGACCCTTCCTCTTCGTGCGAAAGAAGGGCTCCGGTACCTGGCAGGCGATTGGGATTCCGGGCTAGTCCGGTTTCCGATGAAAATCCCGCGGCAGAGTGATCCGACTGACATGGGTGCTCTCTTTCCTGTTCTTCGGAGCCCAACGGGCCCCATGCACCACACTCAATGCTTGAAGGAACTTCATATGAACACAGAAGGGTAATCGAGAAGGAACAATCCCGCCCTATGAACGGACACACAAGCAAAGATAAGGGAATGTAGGGAGTTGCTAGACTCCAAGGAAAACTAGCTCACCCTAGAAGATGCTGACGAGAAGGAACCGGACACTGTGTATGGATGTTAGAGGAGAGTGGCACGCACTGTCCCGAGAGAAAATTTGTGAGCTATGGGTAGGAAGCGTTGGGTTCACCAGGGGAAAGGCACTTATGTTGTGTGTGTCCCACTTGGGACTTGTGACTGCATGATTGGGATTTCGAGCGTCCTGGCATTTGGAAGGAAAAGGGGGGATCTGCACCGGCCACTGCGGATTGCCAAACACCGTTCTCTTTGCAGGCTGTCGTTTGTTCGTATGCGGCGCCAGGCCATCGAGCTGTCTTACAGGAGTTTGTCGCGTCGAGTGCTTATTAACATTCTCGTCCGCGCGGTGACCGGCTTCGTCTCGATTGATCCGTCGGGCGGGGTGTGAAACGTTCCTCAGGCGGGGCCTAGCCTGTGAACTGGCGGAGGGAGCACCACTGCATGGGGGCAAAGACGGAGCTTGGGAGGCGGTGAGTAGCTTCTCGTAGCCTAGTTTGGGAAAGGTTGTTCCTTATCGGACCGATGGAAGTGAATGCCTGGACGGCTGGCGCCAATGGCCCTACCGAGATGTGCGGGGTGATTCCCGAGATTAACGGTGGGTGCACGAGCGGCAAGTCGGGATGGGGTATTCTGGGCAAGAAGGTGAGGGCGGACCCCCACTGGAGTCTGGGTACCGTGCTCACGACGGTTGAGTTGTGCTTGAGGTGTGGGATAAAACCCTGCCGATAGTAATAGTGGAGAGACCATTGTTGGGGAAAAGGTCGGTGAGGAGATGACCGACTTGTGTGGGACGTTTGTCTGAGTTCTGCTTTTTGTGCCTCCCTCTGTAAAGTTGCCTGATGAGTGGTGGATGGGGACCAAGCTTCTAAGTCTATTCTCACCTCCAAGTCTAAGTCCGCACGAGTGAGAGAACATGAGGAAGAGGCTGGATAGGAGTCGAAAGAAAAAGGAACCCCGAGAAAGCAATAACCGGCTAAGCATGATCGATTGGGGGTATGGTAGCGCAATGGCACCTGGGAAATGGACAAGAAAAGTTAAGAAGACCCGGATGAGGGGTCTGAAAACAACTCTCATCTAAAAAAGGGAAAGCAAACCATCTGACCATGAGGGGCCGTGTGGTGCTCTCATGTGGAAAACAGGACAAGCGCCAGGAAAACAGGATGGCGCGATGGTTGTCGCCTCCTGTCTACTCTAGTGGTCCGGAAATGCCTATAGAGGTAAGGGATGGGGTATCTGTTGTTCTCCCAGAAGAAGGGACGTGAACCGACCTAGAACCGGCCTATGAAACTGTGATGCTGGACGAGAAGGACGCGTTCCTCTGGACAGAGACAATCTGGACTAAGGTCAGCCCGACGAGACTTTCACCTAACTTGATGGACCTAAAATTTCGGGGAACAGTGAAAGCTCGAGGATGGGTCTACCTATCACAGGAATTGGAAAATGCAATGGTAGTGGGACTAGTACTGGGCACGACACCGGATCAGCTGTTTAGGCAAGCAGAACGGGAAGTGGTATGGGCAGCATGTCAGCGGGCAAAAATGGAGATGGAAAGGATGGAGGTGCGAGTGGAACTCGGGGACCGGAAAAATATGAGACGTCCTCTTAGGACAATGAGATGCGTGCTACCCCCGTTTCTGGTGGATGCAGTCTTTGGGACCAGGGATAGATTGGAACGTATATGCCAATCGATGACATGCCTGAGGCTGTAGCAATGTGCTAGACAAGACTTCTTTAAACTGTCGGTGCAAGCAGGGCCGTTTGAAGGGAACTGGGCGGAAGAATTAGCTGAGGTGTTAAACCTTCTCAGCGCGGACGAAGTCTTTGTTCCTAGTCCGGTGTATTGGCAGATAGTTTACTGAAACGTGGCGGCGGGGGAAACCTTCTTGGAAGGGGTGAAAGAGATGTTCTTAGACGAGGAGGAGGATTTCAGTGAGGAGGAGGACGGAGACGAGATAGAGGACTACGACTTCTGAAGGGGGGGGCTTACCTGGGGGAAACGGGTTGTCGACTATGTGCAGGTAGGGAGCGATGGCCCGGGAACTTGAACTATGGGGCTGCACATGGGAACCAAGACGAGTCGAAAGGGGAGTAGAGATGTCAATACCGCCGAGCAACGAATGGAAAGGGACCACATGTGATTGGCGGGGGTATGAGATTGTGCCGGAGCTATCGTACCTATGGATAGAGAGCGTATGGAACCCGTTGAGGGAAAAGGAAGGATGGGAAGAGATTGCGGAAGGAAGGGTGGGATCAGTCGGGACGATCGTTTTCTCCGAGCAGGTTGGCACCTGTTCTGCACAACACTCGCGGCAGGGCAGAACCCAATGTGGCTTTTAGGGGACGCTGAGGCAAGGGCTCGACAGGCGGGGGAAAGGTTTGCTAACAAAGGTTGGGATACGGTCAGCAGTAGAGTCATGATGGGAGGATGGAAAGAATTTAAACCGCCTGGCGCCCGAATCAAGACTTGGGTGCCCGAATTCGTGGCGGACTGGTTTGGGGGGTTTTATCACGTAACAGAGGTAGCCGACGCAATGGAGCGAATACACGTAAACTGCGCATGGCTGGTGGGGGAATTCTACAGGACGTCCTTGAAATATGGGCCCTTCCATGGCGATAGAGCCTGGGAGGTCCTTATCATTTTGGATATCGAAAGGAATGACCGACAGGAGGTGGCCCCGAAAACTAGGGAGACCATAATCCGCCGTGAGGTAGCAGCAACACCTTGCTATGTGGATGATGTGTTCAAACTGTTCGAGGTATTGTGGTTCGACTAAAAGCAGGAAAGCTGTGTGGCCAGGCAAATATGGGAAACGTTGCTAAGATAAGGGAATGGGATGTCTGGCCATTGTAGGGTTCGAGGCGGATCACGAGCCAGGAGATTCAAAGGCGAGCGCGTGATGGCGCGAAGAAGGACGTTCCTCGAGGAACTCCCCTTGGGCATTGAACCACCTAGGGAAGTACCGGGTGGGGTAGAGGTCAGCTTGCCGGCGGCAAGTGAAGGCTGGCACCAGGAGGCAGATTGGGTCGGGATCGAGCTTGCGGAAAATATGGTCTACTTGGTGACGAAAGTTGAGTGGCGTGCGGATGAGAATGGGGAATGGAACCCGGACCCGCGAGGGCATGTGCGTGCAGAAGGACGACTGTATGTGTCAGGTGATGCGTGGAGGGAGTTCGGAGTCCGGCTGGCATCAGGAGAAGACCCGTCGAGCCTGTTTGAAGGGGCATGGCAGTTAGTATGGCGAGTGGGATTTGAAGTTCGCAGATCCGGGGGTTGACGATGTAACAACAGACCTTAGGGTAACCATGGTCGGGAGTTTCGAATTGCCTAGTGAGAATGTACGAATGAGGCTGCCGCCCTTCCTGCTGGAAAGGCTGGGCGGTCTGGGACTTGTTAGACGAGCAGTAGCCAACCTCGCAAGCCTGACATATGAAGATGCGATGGTACATCGAGAATACTATCAGGCCTTCCTAGAACTGGGCCCTTCAATGGAGAGCAGAAATATGAGGTGCTGCGCATCCTGCGTGTTGTGTTTAGCACCAGGCCAAGGGCTCCAGTCGTGGGAGATGAGGTCTTGTGGGGTGTCATCCGAAGGGAAATAAGTCAAGGGATGGTGTACGTGGATGATCTGTACCAATTATATGGGCCGATGGACGTAGGGACGGACCAATAAACGAGGTCAAGGAAAGAAAAGGAAGGTTCAAGCTAGAAACCGGGAAGTGTTCAGGCGGGAGGTGAAGATTAAATGAAATAAGTAAAACCGCTTGGTGTTTAAACTGTGTAGGGGACTACTAAGCCGAAAATGGCGATGAGACGCGCTCGGATGTTGCGACGGTCCACACACCCGCGGCCACCCACGGAAAGTGGAGGCGGATGGGAGGTATGGCTCCCAGCAAGCTGCATGATCCAAGGATTGGACATCGAATGGAGGGTCGTGACCTTGGGAAGAGGTCAGGCGTTCATGATGGTGGAATGTTTGTGGGATGGTATGAGAATTAACAGGGGACCGGGAGACGATCTGTACACCGATCTTAAGGTAACAAGGACCATATACCTGCCGGAACTTGGATGGTACATGCTAGGAACGGAATTGGCACTAGGTCACGGGTTGCTACCAATCTTCCGGAGGGCTACTAGGATGTTGAACAAGGTGGGCCAGGAAGTGCGGGGGAGAATGAACGTGGGACTAAGAACTCGGGTGGAGGTCGGAGGCTGGCGAGAGTTTAAGGCCCCAATGACCGGGTTGAGGTGTCGAGTACCTCGTTTCATGGTGGACTTGGTATTTGGTAGCCTCAAGAGAGTTAGGGACCTGGTGGATTCGACCCTGGTCTGGATCCACCTCTTCCGGCCACAAACAACGAGCATGTTCTACGATGTGTCGGTCAGATATGGGCCGTTCTGGGGGAATCAGGCCTGGGAACTACTCGAATTACTCGAGATCTTGATATTCGGATTGCCCCACCTGTCGTTTGAAGAATATGAGCCAATAATTATCAGGGAAATAGAGATGGGGGAAAATTACCTTGCTGGGTTGGCTGACCTGTTCGAGGAACCGAATGAGCACGGCAGGTCTAAGGGACCAGCATGAGAAAACGCGCCAGGAAGAGGTAGGGAAATAAAGGATGGGTACTAAAATAAGTAGGCAACCATCAACAAAAGAGGGGCAGTGGTTGGAGCTCCGTCCGAACCGATAGCGCGGCAAGGAGGAACTAGGAAGACCACCCGCACCAGACAACTCTGGGGCATTTGGAGGTCGAAAAGCCAAAAGGGCCATCCTCGATAAGGAGGCCACTGGGCTCAAACACCGCCCTAAGAGCCAAAGCGCGGCAGTGATAAAAATGCCAAGCAGCGGCGACAAGTTCCCCAAGCGGGAGAAAAACCTGAAGGACGCCTTGGGAAAGAAAAGTCAGGAGAGTCGGACCGATTAGTATAAGACGCAAAAAAAACATGGGAATAGGCGGGTTTTAGGGTTGGGACTAGGGCAGTTATGAACAACCGGCCATTTTTTTTCGCAATTTTTTTTTTCCATGTGCAGGCTAGGTAAAGAAATGGCGACTGAGGAAGGAATCAATGACCAGCAGAGCGGAGGGAATCAGGGCACGAATGGGGATGGGGAACGAAACGAGGGATCAGCCAGGGATCGAGAGTCAGCCAAACTGGAAGGAACCCGAGAAAACGGAAAGGACGCCTCAATTGGAGAAAGCTCGGGGAAAGCTGGGGGTAGCAAAAGGGGACCTCAAGAAAACACGGAAGGGGGAAACGATATGAGAACAAGCCCTCGGAACTCAGCAGGAGCCACCCCTAAAAAGACAAAAGTCTCGGATGCCAGTCGTAAATTGGCAGAGATAGAAAAGCAGACTGCAGAATTTAAGGCAAGGCTTATCGAGCAGATGATGGCAGAGCATGAGGAGGACCCCAGGGCGCAGGGTCACGTGAGGGACGTAGGACCGGTCAGGACGAGGCCAGGTATGAGGGGAAGGGTAATAGCCACAAAGGAACGCCTAGTAAGAAGGGGAAGGACAAGAACGACCCCCCGGCGGAGGAGACGGAAAACGCTATGACCCCACCCGCCATCGACAGCGGCACTAGCGGACTGCCCGCCACGCCGAAAGTAACAGGGGTGTGTGACGGACTCTGGAACCTTAGGGAAAGAGTGCTAGGATGGTTCGACCCAGAAGGAACGCCGAAAACCAGGGAGAAGCAGAGGGAAAGCAAGGAAGGGGAAGGCATCAGTGCGGCCGGAGAAGCGGGTGGCTGCGAAGATGGTCTCAAGAGGGTAGTCGCCACCCTCACCAGGACGCTAAACAAGAACCAGGGGTATCTCGCAGATGCAAAGAAGAAACTCACGTTCGATGGGGCCAACATTACGGAGTTTCTAATAGACTATGAGAACCTAGCAACCTTACTGAAATGGACGAAAGAAGAAAAGATGGAGCACCTAGGGCAGCACGTGTCGCTAAGCTTGGAAAGGGATATTATGGCCATCATCGCCTCCAGTGGATCCTGGAAATAAACCAGGAATGAGATGATGAGGAAATACCTAAAGGCGACAGAGGTCGAATTAGCCGCAGTCCAGAGGAAAAACTATGCGACTTACAACGATTTCCTAAGGGCATTTACGTTAGTGGCGCTGCGAATTCCCGGGGTAACAGACCGCATAATGAGTAAATACTTCCTCAAGCAGTTTTCCGAGTTTGATAAAGATAAGATTTTGTCAGCATACCAGCAGACCAGTAAGTTCGAATACACGAGAGATGTGGACTTCAGCACCGTAACAGACCTCGCGGAAAAGACAGTGGTTACCGAGACGCTAGCCCTGCTTAAGGAAGGGGAGGTCATAGATCTGACCGGGAAGACGGGGGATAAGGTCAAGAAGGGGATAGAGAGCCTGCACGAACGGGTGCACGGGGTTGACAGCAAGATGGACAAAATGGAAAATGCGTTGTTAGTAATGCAGGCGCAAGTGTCCAGACCCGCCCTCCCGCCCCAAGAGGCCGTGGTTCCGGTAGCTGTAGCAAACCGGGGGTTTGGCAGGAGGGACCCGGCCACCGAACAATGCAAGTATTGCACCATGATCGGGCACTTCGTACGGGTCTGTCCGAGACTCAATCACGATATCGAGCGGCAGAGGTGCAGTAGGTCCCTCAAAGGCGAGATCCTCGAACCCAGGGGGGAGCGTGTCAATTGGAACTCGCCAGGAGGGATGCGGCGAGCCGTCATCCTCCTGATTAACTTAAAGATAGTTGTCATAGAAGCAGAGCCGATAGCCGAGATTGTCTGGGACCAGCCAAGGGAACGGGGACCATTGGCCAATTTTATCCTAGAAGGCAATGGCCACGATAGGGTAAATATTACCACTCGCCGAGCCGACGCAGAAAATAAGTTTATTCAAGATACAGTAATAAAAGAACTCGCAGGGACTAGCACGGGCCAGCAAGAGACCGAAGCCGGGGAACAAGAGAAGGTCTATGGGAAGCCTAGGGAGGACGAACCGGTAGACAAGGCTTCGGCGGCAAAGAAGAAGTTCAGGTATCAAATTCCGATCCTGACTTCGCTAGAAATCGATGGCACTTTGAGTAAGCTACTGGGTACCATGGTATCGGTGTCCTTTCAGACCATGCTGCAAGCCAGTCCGAGGCTGCTTAAAGGACTCAAGCAATTGCTAACGCGTAAGCGCGTAGAGGTAGAGGAGGCCCCGAAACTGCAGGAGCAGGACACGGAAGAGGCCGAGACGCCGCAAGGAGTCTCCAACCTCCAAAGCATTCCAGGGGGCTTGGGAAATTTGGAGAAAGCCTTTGCGGACATCCGCCTAAGCCTACCGGATCGTGAAGGTGGCGAAGTCATGAGGGCGCCACCCGGGACAAAGCTTAGCTTTCATGCATTATCAGTTGGGAAACTTAAAGTTCAAATCGGAACTCACCACACGGACGCGTTAGTGGACGGCGGAGCAGAAATCACCCTCATACGACGAGATTTCGCAACGGTCACGGAGTGCACGGTAAACAAGGAAGTAGCAGGGAGTATTCGGGGAGCCGGTGGCGAAATTCCTTTCACAGGGTATGTCACAAAATGTGCAATCAGGGCGGGAATCCGGAAATCCATCTGGTCCTTTCAGCGGATGACCGTGATGGAAGAAATGGATCACGAAGTAATCCTCGGGAGACCGTGGTGCGCCAATGTGGAAATGATAGGAATGCATCTGCACGACGGCACATACATGGTAGACATAGAGGACCCAGTGACCGGCCGAGGGGAACTCCTCCGACTTCTTGGGACCGGAGGGGACCCTCCGAAGGGCAAATTGGCAACATGGTCTCCAACATTCGAAGAAAGTGCGCGGAAGGAGGCATTCGCACGAATGGAAGGCATGAGGGAAAGGGTAGAAATTATGATCGAGGAGGCTTTTAGTAAAAAGGAATGGATCAAGATGGGTCTGCCCGTAAAGAAGAGAGAAGGCCTGACGACGAGTCCCTGGGGGTTATGGTGGCGGAAAAGGAGCAGGAAGTTGAATTTGGGGCCATCCTGCCCAAGCCAAAGGAAGGCCGTAATGAGACCCCCGAGCTAGCGCTCGAAATCCCAAACCTGTTGCAACTGTTAAGGCAATCAGGTACCACAAAGTGGGGGTGGACCCGGCAGAGCTTGCCAAGTTTGAGGATGGGGTCCGAAAGGGCTACTGTCTGAATGGGAAGCTAGTCAGCATCCAGCCCCGCATCGTGGAGGTAGCAAGGCTGACCCCGACCGTTCATTTTTTAGGAGAACGATCCCAGAGGGCAGTGTGCGAAAATACAAACCCGTAGGGAAGAAGGCCAAGCCGGTCTCGATCCTAGTAGAAACATCAAGGGAAGAGGTCATGGAAAAGGAAGAGGAGATCCTACGGGTTATAAGGGAGAGACGCGCAACGGAAGGTCATCGCATACCACATGACGTAGCAGATACCATGAAAATAGGACTGGAAGGGTTCCTAATACCGGAAGAAACTCGGTTGATAAAAAAACCATGTCAGGAGTTTCATTTAGCTTTCGCCTTCAACGATCATAAAAAAGGGCGATTGGACGCAAAGCTAGTTCCCCCTGTCAGGATCCACACCGTACAGCACGAGTGCTGGAATGATAAAGGGCCCGCCTATGAGTTTGGGATAGCAGCGGAGGTCACCGACCTGCTTAGAGCCAAGATAGATTCCTTCGTGGCTGAACCCACCGCATCCCCCTACGCGAACAAGTGGTTCGTGTTCACGAAGCCCAATAAGACGCTCAAGTGGATCCAGGATCTGCAGAAGCTAAATGCGGTAACAATTAGGGACGCAGGCTCGCTTCCACAGACCGACTTATTGGCAGAATCTCATGCGGGGCGGAGCATTTGCTCCCTAGTAGACTTGTACTCAGGATATGATCAGTTGCCGCTCGACGCAAGGGATAGACCGTGTACCGCAATGCACAACCCCGTAGGACAGCTGCAGATGCAAGTGACCCCTATGGGCTTCACAAATGCGGTAGCAGAGGCGCAGAGGAGGATGCTCGCCGTTGCAGGAGATATGTTTCCGGAAAAGTGTGAACCTTATATAGATGATAATCCTGTAAAAGGTGCAAGATAGAAGGACGAGGCGGAGGTCCAGCCGAGCGTACAAAAGTTTGTTTGGGATCACTTGCAGGATATTAAGGACCTGCTCCAGCGATTCCTAGTTTACAATATTACTGCAAGCGGACCCAAGAGCATCCTGGTTGTCCCGGAGGTAACTATACTGGGATTCTGTTGTGGGGCCTATGGGAGGAGACCCGACCCAACAAAGACAGACAAGATCTCTCAGTGGCCGACAACCCTGCGTACCACGACGGAAGTACGAGCCTTCCTAGGGGTGGTTGGATTCTTGATGATCTTCATCAGAGGTTTCGCAAAGATAGCAGAACCTAACCGCGCGATGATTAGGGAAGGTGGCACTATGGATTGGACCGAGGATAGGGAAGAGGCAGCCCAGACCCTGAAAGACATCCTGTCATCCGATTAGGTCACTCTGGCAGCACCCTGTTTCAATGACGAGGTAGGACGGCCTTTCATCTTAGAAACAGATGGGGGATCGCTGGCAGCTGGAGGAGTATTGATACAGAGAAGCAAGGAGAAATTTGAAAGTAGGACTCTGAATTCGGCAGAACGGAGGTACTCACGATCCTAGCGATTCTCCATTGTCTTAAGACCTTCCAGGCATACCTGTTCGGAAGGCGATTTATCCTAAGGATCGATCCCACCAACGTTGCCGGGGCCCTAAAGAACTACAAGCCTATAAATCCGACCGTTGGCAGATGGATAGGCTTCATATGGCAATTCGACTATAAGGTCGAGCGAATTGCAGGGCTTCGAAATAGGGCAGATGGGTTGAGCAGGGTATGTATCACGCTAGAAGGAGTAGAGGACGCGGAACCAATTGACGCCTTCCTGGAATACGAAGAAGGGACCCTTGTTGTGGATAATGAGATGGCAGATCCAACAACTACAACAGGTCAGTTGTTGATTCAGACCTTGGAAAAGGGCGCACCTGCAGTGGTTGCAAAACTCAGGGAAGGACCAGTCACCACAGTTAGGCGCAAAGAGGAGAAAGACTCGTGGGGAGCATAAGTAGGGGCCAGAGAGGAACTGATGGCAATGACCGTCGAAGGGGGACGGGACGCCGTGATGACGTTGGCCAAAGCCTGGGCGCAGAAGGAGTGTCAGTACCCAGTCAACCTCACTCGGGAGGAGCAGGGTACGGATCAGAACGAACAAGAATTTTTCCTCATACAGATGTATGAGGGCGTCTTCAAAGAAATCAGTCTGCTGTTTGTAGGGAACAAACAACCCACGAAAGTCAGTCCCAAGGCAAGGGAGGAAGTAGAAAAGTATGTCCTAAGAAACGGCCACCTGTTCAAGAGAGAGGAAGGGATGACACCTAGACGCGTCATTTGTGGGAGGTTTAGGCAGCTGGACGTAATTCAGGCAATGCATGATGGGCTAGTTGGAGGTCACCGGTCGTCTAAAGGAACACTTGCGAAGATCGTGCCTCTGTACTTTTGGCCAGGGATGGCAGGCATGGTCGCAACGTATTGTCAAACGTGTCTAATATGTCAAGAAAGGAGCACCGTACGAGTTTACGAGCCCCTTAGACCCACCCGGGTACTGGGACCCGGACACCTTGTTCACCTCGACCTTGTCGTTATGCCCGTATCAACGGATGGGTTTAGATACATCTTGGATGCAAGGGATAATCTCAATGGCTATGTAGAAGCCGTAACCCTCAAGAAGAAGACGGGGAAAGCAGTGGCCGACTGGGTGGAAGATTTCTACCTCAGGCACCCCTTCGTGCGCAGGTTTATAGCAGACAATGGGACAAAATTCGTTAACCAGGAGGTGTCGAACAGACTTAAGACACTGTGTGTACTGATCAAGATCACCGAGCCCTACCATCCTGAGGCAAATGCACCAGTAGAAAGGCGTTACCGGACTTTTAAGAACACCATCGCAAAGTTGGCAGCAGATAATTTGGGAAGTTGGCCACGGTTTCTCAAGCAGGCAGTCTTCGCCAAGAACATGACTCCAAAAAGAATAACGGTATGTATTCCAGCAGAACTCTGGTATGGAAGGGAGATCGATTTTCTGATAGAAGCTTTGGTCCCTACCCGGAACAGGCTAGATGACGACCCACACTTGAGCACGGAAGAGTTAATCACCGCACGTTGTCAGCAGGTTGCCAGAAATGAGGAGACACTCGAGGAAGTAGTCAATCGTGTGACGGATAGCCGAATGAGGGATAAAGCAAGATGGGACCAGGTCAAGAACATTCGGAAGGAGTCACTCCAGGTGGGGGAAAAGGTGCTAGTTAGGAACTCGGCTCTTGAAAGCACATGGTCCGGGCAGCTGGGAAAAAGATTCAAAGGGCCTTACAGGATCGCTAAGCGGGTGGGACTGAACACAGTTGAACTTGAGGATCTCGATGGTACTAGCATAAGAGGGTCATTTCCGGGACAAAGACTGGTCAGATTTTTTAGCAGGGATCTGGTGGAACAGTGGCTACAAGAGGCCCAGGACAGGGAAACTGGGGAACTGACAGCCTGAAAGGCAGGCAAATGGCTACAAGTTCTGGACCGCCTCCCTGCAGAAGTAATCATGACCACAGGGATTGTTCGTTTGTGTGTCTTGACTTTTGTGGAACGTGGGGAGACTGCCTGGGCTGGCCGTGACTGGGCCTGGGAGCACGGGACAGTGTATTATAGTTTTTGTGGGGTAACACTGGGGACTGTCTACACGAGGTATTTATGTGCTGGGACAATGTACCATAGTTTTTGTGGGGTGATGTTGTGGACTGCCTACATGGGGCACCTATGTGCTGAGACTGTGTCGAGGGTTCTAAGGGATAATGGGGCTACCAACTATATGGGGGCAAGCAAGAGTTCTAGGGAAGCCTCCAAAGCCGCAAATGGGAGTGGAAGGGAATGTGTGTGTATGAGGGGTACCGTGACTGCTATGCATAAACAGGGCCAAGCGAGGAGAAAACAGCAAGAAAACAGCAAGATGGAGTACGGAAACGAAAATGACAGCAACGCCATGAATAGGCCTACTGAGCGACAGTCGTCGAGACAGGCTGGAGAATCAAGCTCCAGGAAAAGGAAATTGTATGTGGGGTTTGATCACAACCTGGTTGTGAATAGGGGGGGGAGAAAGCAAGGGACTAGGGGACCTTCACCACCAAGGGAGGGGGAGCCAATAGTCCTTCCCTCCGAAAGCGATACCAACAAGGACAAAGAGAGGAACCCGGGGAAAGGCCAAGGTTGGAGGAGGAGGAGTCCATCGAGGTCATAGACCTCAGTAGCGGGGAAGAAGAGGGCGAAGTGACAACGCCCACAAGGGAAGATTGGTGAAGAGAGGAGGACCCAGGGGAAGAAAAGGATCCATGGAAAAGAGAATTCGGGCCAACTTTCAGCGATTGGTTCGATCAATGGGCCAGTATTTTGCCTTATCAGTGGGCAATGAAGGGCCAGGAAAAGTTGAGCAGAGGAGAAGACATATCCCCAACAACCTTCTTTTCAGAAGAAACGCTTCGCCATCTACAGACGATAAAGAGGCTAATGGAGCAAGAAATGGAGGACCGTGCAAGGAGGGAGGCTCGGCGCCGGGCACCGGGACAGTAAAAGGGGACATCAGGCATGATGGGAATAGCTGGGAATCGGGGAAGGGTTGGTAACCGGGCAGCAAGAACTGCCATCTTTCCTTTTTGCGCATTTGAACTTCTTTCCGAATGAACTGTGATGAGACAGCGGCTAAGCTCGAAGCGGCTAAGGACTGGGTAACGAATGCTACTTCATATAAGTCGTTGCTTCTTCGGGAATGGGCATGAGAGCTTTTTTGCACTTAGAATAGAATTCTGGATGGCTAGGTAGATTAAGGGAAAGAAAAAGGGGAAACAGAGGGAATCTAGACGAAGACGAGTCTGTAATGTTGCCTTTGCATTCGAACTCTGTCTCCTTATTTTTCCTTGTAAGGACTGCAATAGAACTACTTTTTGGATTGAGGGACCTAGTAGAGGGTGAGTGATCAGGGCTACTTTGTATAAGTACTCGCTCCGCTTGGGAAATATGAGCTTTTTGGTAGTAAGAAAGGGATTGGGGGCCGGTTGACTTTATGGGCATCGGAAGGTGAACTCTTGAACGTTGGAAGAAACATTCATGACGAAAGTCTTTCCTTTAAGTTGTGTATCCATGATTGAATGAGTCGCTCCACGAGTCCTTGTGAGAGGTTAGGAGACCTATGGGTAGAGAGGCACCCTCTCCCCTAGGAGCCTAATCCAACCTACCCTAGGCAATCCCAAAGCATTGAGAAGCATATAAGAAGACAGAAAAGTGGCAGGGAAACATTGAAATGATACAACACCCCTTGCAATGGTTGAACGGCCGGGCGGGCTAGTGTTGCTTGGGGCCGTGAGCCTCAACTTGAGTACTAGACGCTAAGTCAGATGTAGAGATGGATGTAAGAATGACAAAAGACATGAGGAAAAGGAAGAAGCGTGCATAAAAACCCAAGACGATGGCCGCCCTCTAACCCCCGAGACGAGATAAGATCCGTGTCCTCGAGGTCCACCCCCTCGGGCGCTAACATTGCAAGGGACAAGGATGACCCTAATCAGGCTGCCCAATTGAAATGGATAAGGATGGTCCTAACCAGTTTGTCCGATTGCAATGGATAAGAATGACCCTAACCAGGCTGTTCGACTTGGAATTGGAAAGAACGACCCTAACCAGGTTGTTCGGAATGGCCCCTGACAAGGGTCATTCTTTGGAATTGGCACTGGGGTCCCCTTGCATGGCTGCTTGTGATGCATGGAATTGGAAGAGCGGAGCTTTAGAAAAGAGACTAGAAGAGTTGAGCCTTGGAAACGAGATCGGAAGAACTCAGCTTTGGAACGGATACTGGAACTCGGCCTTGGAAGAGATATTGCATTGAGCATTGGATTGAGAATGAGCATTGGATTGAGATTGAGCATGGGAATGAGACTGAGCATTGAAATTGGATTGAGTACTGGAAATTGCATCGCATAAACAGGGGACCCTAAGCAACCTGAAATGGATTTGGAAAGAGCCTTGAAATGGAATTTCTCTTTTTTCTAGTCTTTGGCCTCAACAAGAAGGGGATACCGGTGCATGCACCGCGACCCCAAGACCTCTATCCCTTTAAGGGAGAAAGTCTCAGCGCGACCTGTTCCTCTTCGAGAGGGCGAGGGTTAAAGGACTAAGGCACCTACCATTTGGATCGGTGCAGGACGTCCGGAACCACCTCCGACAATGAGCTCTAGTCGGGGAGTTCCAACTCCGCCTCCTGTTGAATGCCTAAACGTCAAAGGGCGAGAAAGCCAAATGGGCAGGAAAACCATTATCATCTAGTCTATTTTGCTACTCTCCAACCACACGCCATGTCATAGAGGGCTGGCATGGCCGTTTGGGCCGGACCACGGCTGCCCGCACTAAGTTGGGCGGCACTATCCAAGGGGAGAGGCTGGGCGAGGTACCGGGTGGAGTCCGCCACCACCACAGGGCATTGACACTGCCCTGCCGGAACATTACAACCGTTTCGGGACTAATTGCGAGGACTTCGTAACTGCACTCGCGAACTGATAGAGAGCCCCAACTCTCTTGGAAGGAAGAGGCCGGAATCCAGAAAATCACCACTCGGGAGGAACGATTCGCGAGGAACGCTCTTACGACTAGACGATGCCCTGGCAGGCTTGGATTCGACCTACCTGACAAACGCGCGAAGGAACCTCAGTATTGGTGCTCGCCACGTAAGAGAAGAAAGGTCGGACCGAGTAGAAGGATGAGGCGTCGTCCGCTGGGGAGGAACTGATCACTCTTCCTTTTGTGAAGCAGATGGGCCAAAGGTCTCATGCCTCCGAGTGAGGACCAGTCGCTCGATGGGGACATCGCGTTTTGAGTGGGGGGAAGATGCGCCATCTACCAATAAATACGCATGGGAAAAGACCTATAAATTGGTTTTGCACAGGCCTGAGAAAAGGGGCCTGGCAAGGTGCCCGGAAAAGAAAAAGACCTGTCATTGGTTTGCATGGGCCTGAGAAAAGGGGGGGTCTGACAAGAGGCCGGGACAGAAGGGACTGGAGCAAGTGACATGGTATTAATGTGAGAAAAATGGCTTGGCAAGATAGCCAGGGAGGGAAAGACTGGTGTGATTGAGTCTGCGTAAGGAACTGGTAGACTGAGAGTTGGCTGTGTAATTGGCTCGTATAAGCTTGAAAAGATAAGAAATGGCAACGGGGTGAACCAAGCGTTGCACATGAAGAGTCAATTAAGTAAAAAGCAAGAAAGGGTAGAGGACGATATGCATGCGGAATTGGCAGTACCTGAGAAAGGCCGGAAGGAATAACCCGGGAATAATGCATGTGGATTTGGCTATAACCCGGGAATAATGCATGTGGATTTGGCTATGTCTAAGCTTCGGGGACAGGAAAAATTGTACTGAAAATGTGTGGATGTCCTAAGAGTAATGAACGAGACGAAACCAAAAGGATTTCTGCTCGAGAATGTTTTCTCAATAAAATGGGGAGATAGATTTGAGATTACGAATGCAGCCTTCAAGACATTGTCGAGAGCGAGAAATAACGTATAATGAAAAACTAGCTGCAGGGCATGTCTATGGTCAGACCCCTCCAAGGGGCGATGTTAGTCAACTTTATGAAGGAAAGAGACATCAAACTCCTTAAGCTCCTTGATGTGTTGCTAGCTCGCACCTGGAGGAAGCCATGGCAAATGATCTTTGTGACATCCGTCGCCAAAATCTCCTTTTTATCTCAGTCCCTGGGGAGGGTGATGGGCGCGTCGTCCTCTCTCTTGTGGAACGATACGGGAAGTTGTGGGGAAACCCTTGGGTATGTGGGAGTTCCAATGAGAAAGAGATACAACTGTGAGACGGACGTTGATGCACAGAGTGTTACGCGCTCGTTACAAAAACATTATTGAGCTTGGGGACGTCACGCAATCCAAAGGAAACCCGAAACAAAAACCTTAACCCCTCCATACCCTCCCTTGCCCCAAGGGGCGAAAACTTAAAGAAGGACCCGAGGAAAGAGTGGGAAAGACAAAAAAAACCCTGGCAAGCTAACTACTCATCCCACCCCACTCCCCTTCCCTGTCTGTCTATCACTCCAAAATTCCTACTGACAATGGATCGGTGCGCGATGAGGACATCGCGAATGAGTGGGGGGAATATGTCGGGTCTTGTGAGTCCCGAATGATTTCCCGTCACTCGAGAGACTGTATTTGACCAAATTGTGCACGACAGAGAAAATCGGAGGAAGGAATGCTGGAAAAATCGAAAGCGTTAATAAAGACAGCAGGAGGCTAGAGGCTGTCCGGAGTCGTCAAGACCGCCAAAGCTAAAAAGGAATTGTCTAAGCGGAAAGCGGCAAGGAATGTGAGAGAATAGCAAGGGCGACCCCTTCCCCAAGGACGGAGGATGGCCGCCAGGAAGTTGGTAGCAACATAGGAGGTGTACAGCAAGGGAAGGAAGGAAGTGGGAAGGGACAGGGCTCAAGGCGGTGACGCGACGCGACGGCAGGAGGGCCAAGGGGACCGCAGGGTAGGTAGGAGCCGACACCCAGAACGGAATAGCATGTGGGACGCAATAGGAGTAGGGAGCGGAGATCGCTGTAAGGCGGAAGGACGTCAGGAGCACCAAGGAAAGATGTGGTACAGGAGGGGCAGGAGTGCCGGGGACCACATGGGATCGGAAGACGGGGCAGTATCGGCAAGACAAAGAGCCGGGGACCACGCGGGACTAGGGGACGGCGTGGTGCCGGCAGGGCGAAGTGCCTGGAACCGCGTGAGACTAAGGGAAAGACGTAATGCAGGCGGGCCGAAGTGCCAGGGACCACGTGGGCCTACATAAAATGGCGGCACCCGCTGAACCACTAGCAAGACGGGTATCGACAGGATAAAGTGTCGGGAGCCGCTGACGGGGACTGAAGACCGCAGCCGTCGGCGGAATAAAGAGCGACCGACCCAAGGGGAGTACACGAGGGCGGCACGTCACCCGGGACGACGCCGGAAAAAGGGGAGAGACTAGGGATAATAAGAAAAAGAGGAGAAGTCGGGTGCTGACGAAAA